CCAATTCCTCCTGGTTCCTGCTCTTATTGATCCAAAGATCAGAAATAGTAAGATTGATAGGGTGAAGACCCCCATAGAAATCAACCAAAGTACCCTTACGTAACCAATCTTCCTACCAAAAGGAAACATCACCTTTGCCAACATCCCAAAAAATAAGATCCTCCGTATGTTTAGCTACTTTCACCATTGCACGCCATATGAAAGAATCATGCTTGCAGCTAGAAACATTTAGAGGATGTTGACTTTTACAATATTTAGCATACAGTAAAGAAGCCCATAAGGAATTTTTAGAATGGAATTTGAACCACAATTTCATGAAATTAATTTCAATAGAATCAGATAAGCTACGAAAACCAAGACCCCATTTGTCCAAAGGCCTACAAAGTTTATCCCAACTTTGCCAATGAATATTTGCTTTCCCTTTACTACCCCAAAGAAACTTGTTAAAAAGCCTTTCCAACCTTTTAACAATACCAACATGTATATTCATCACTTGTAAAGCATAAATGTGTAAGGAAGTAAGAATACTCTTTAAAAGTGTAATCCTCCCACCAAACGAAAGGAATTTATTATCCCAACACAGAATTCTTTTTTGAATTTTGTCAACAAGATCCAAGCAAAGACTATTTATTTTCAAGCCTTTATGCAGATTAAAGCCCAAGTAAGATAGAGGAAGAGAAGCCTTTTGGCAATTAGTAATGTCCATAATCCAATTCTTCCTACTAGCCATAATAGATTTGGAGCAATAGAAAAAATATTTGGAAGTATTAAATTTCAAACCAGAAGTGTCCTGAAATATCTGAATATGTTTCCATAATCTTTGTATGGATCTTTTATTTGCATTTATAAAGATGACTAAGTCATCATCGAAACAAAGATGAGAAATGCTGATCATTCCCTTATGTATGTAGTTCATACTCGGATACTTGCTATAAAGATCATTTAGGCCTCTAGATAAATAATCAAAAGCAAGTATAAAAAGATAAGGAGAGAGCGGATCACCTTGCTTGATCCCATTAGAAGCTTGAAAAAAACCACATTTGTTACCATTAATAAGAAGAGAATAGTAATTGTAATTAAGAATTTTGTGTATAAGAGAACAAAATTCCTGATTGAAATCAATTGTCTGAAGTATATCAAGAATAAATTCCCACCGAATCAAATCGAAAGCTTTACAAATTTCTATTTTGAATATCACATTACCCCCTCTGTTCTTCCTATCAATGTCCATAAGAAGTTCTTGAACTAGAAGTGCATTGTCGCAAATATTTCTATCTCTAATGAAGGTCGTCTGATTAGGACATATAATGTTAGTAAGGATAGGTTGAAGCATTTTAACCAAAATTTCTGAAATCACTTTAGTGATAACAGTGTTAAGGCTAATAGGACGGAAAGCGTCCCAAGAAGAAGGACTATTAACCTTAAGAAGCAAGACTATATTAGAGGATTTAAAATACCTAAGTAAATCAAAACCTCTTAATAAATCTTGAATATTAGCAGTAAAATGGGGCTGTATAATATCCCGACCATTCTTGTAAAATTCAACATTAAACCCGTCAGGTCCCGCAGCCTTGCCCTCTTCCATGTAAAATAAAATGTTTTTAATTTCATCTAAGCAGGGATCACAAGTCAGAGAATGATTATTAATATGAAGAGAAGAAGAATAAAGAGTGGAATTAATCTAAGTAAGCCTGCAACCATCACTAGCAAACAAATTCAAAAAATATTGAATACCATCAGATATGATCTCACTGTGTGTAGAGATAATTCTCCCATCAGTCTTGCAAATTCTAGAAATAAAATTCTGCTTCCTACAATTATGAATGCAAGCATGGTGATAGACAGTATTACAATCTCCTTCCAGAAAATTAGTTTTAATTGTTTTTTGAGCATAAGAACTTTCTTGCATCGAAATAGTGTTATTCATATTCTGTTGTTCCCTCAATAACATTTCCAAATCCAGATTATTATTAGCATAATCAAACTCCATACCTTTCACCTTATTTTCAAGATCATTAATCACTAACTGAAGGTTCCCAAAAACCTTCCATTTCCAAATTTTAAGTTTTTGCACTAAATTCTTTTGTAGCTTCCATAATTAAATCTCAGCTTTTCCTTTTCCATCCACTTTCCAATTATCCTAAAGAAAATGAGTATAATTATCATGAAGCATCCACATATTGTAAAAATGAAAGATATATTTCAAAACATTGAGACCATCAGTGATCTGAAGAAGAATGGAGCATGATCTGAAGCCAAAATAGCCAAATGTATCACTTTATGATGTAAAAATTCACTTATCCAATTAATATTTGCCACAAAACGATCAAGTCTTTCAAAAATTTTTCCACGATGCAAAGTATAAGGATTTCCTTGAAAACCCAAATCGAAAAGGTCCAAGTAAAAGGATTCCTTGAAAACCCAAATTGAAAAGGCCAGCCTCCTGAAAAGTGTCATTAAACTCAGCAATACGACTAAGGTTAGGCTAAACACCTCCTTTCCTCTCTATAGCAGTAGAAATAATAGATTTAATTAAAGACCAAAGCTCTAATCTAGATTTCTTGGAGCAACTTGCATAAATAATAGAAATAAGAAAAGCATCCTCATGAATATGAACCTTCAGATGCAGCATTTGATAATCATTAATGAGGACCTCCACCTTCACAAAATCCTTCCACAAGAACCAAATCTTGTTATTAATATTAGCAAGATAATTAAAGAAGCTAATCTTCCTCACATATTTATCATTGTTACACGAACTAACCATAGGTTCCAAAATGTCAAAAAAAATTAATTTATAAGTGTGAATTAAATGCTTCAATCTATCAGAGGCAATAGACTTAGCTATTCCTCTAATATTCCATATAAGTGTGTTAATCTTCATCCGTAATCAACAAACCTCTGGTGAGCCTCATTGACAAGGCTCCATTATTACATCCTTATTATTTGAATAAATGATAAGAGCATCTGGATTAATATAACTAAGTTCTCTATTTCTTTTGAGTTTTCACTTTCTAGAAGAGCATTGAACCATCCAACCTTCCTCCAATTCTGATATAGTTAGAACTAGACTATCATCCATCATAGGACCCGTCGGTAAGATAACATGTTTATTCGAACTAGACTATCATCCATCATAGGACCCATCGGTAAGATAACATGTTTATTCAAAAAAAATAGTTTCTATTTTCACATTAGATGGCTCAACATTCATGGAAACCCCTACATCATTAGCTAAATTTCCTTCAACATTATGATTCCCCTCAGGATTATCCACAATAGAGATAATCGTGTGAACTCTTGGAATGACAATGATTTTATTGTTAGTTTCAATATCAAGATTCATACCCACATTAATGACTATAGTAGATTGATTAGGCTCTAAATTTTCTGTATTAACAAACGAAATTTCTTAGTTTCAAGAGGGTTTCATATGACTCATATTCTCCATTATTGATTTCTTGAATTCTTTATTATCATGTAATTCAGGATGAGTATTAAAGCGATGAGTGAACAAATGACCTAACATTTTGCAATGGGTACAGTAACTAGGCACAAACTCCATTTCTATAGGTTGTCAATATTCGTCCACTTCACTCCCAATCCAGACTAAATCATGAAAGTAAGCAGTAATATCCCTTTCGACGAGAACTCTGGCCACAGATGGTCTTGTACAATGAAGAGTAGCCATATCAAGCTTTAAAGGTTTGCCATATATCGAACCTAAAGAGAATAATATTTGCTGATTGAATAAATGTAATTTTAATTCAGGAAATCTTATCCAAACCGGCACAATGGGAGGCTCTTCCAACGGATTGAAATTAAGAGTCCATTTAAAGATCTTCATGTGACATTTTTCAATAAAGATAACTTTCTTGGAAAAGATAGCAGTATAATCCTCTTCCTTTTGTAACTTAATCATGAGATTTCTATCAATAAGTCCTACTTTCCAAAGACCAGATAAACCACATTCTGCAAAATATTTCCTGATAGCCTCAAAACGAGGATGAGCAAAAGTAAACTTACCAATTAAAGTAAATTTCATTGGGTCTACCAACATCTTAGTATCATTCTCTTGAAGAATTAGCGCCGATTTACCATTTTTCTTTGAAGCTTTCTTCAATAGCCCATCCGCATCACTTTCAACCAACTAATCTATAAAAGAAGAATGACAAAGTACATCTATCAAATGTGGGTTACGAACTGTAACCACGTCCTTATACGATAAAAAGGTGTTACGAACCGGAGAAGCCATCCAAAAACCTAGAAGGGAGAGATTCAAAATACCAGAGCGAAGAAGAAGATCCACCAACCGAATTGAAAAGGAAGGAAGATTCAGAACCCTAATTTCGAACAGTCGTGAGGAATCAAGAAACACTCCAAGAAAACCTTCGCCTCATACTGGTAAAATTTTGAAGCTATCCAAGGCTTTATCCTTCATTTCACTCTCTGAAAAGCAAAAATGGGGCAGAGAAGGTAGCAATGCGAGACGGAGGCCAACTGCAGTCTTTCTTGCGAGGATTCGTGGATCGTCTCGGCTTCCCAGTCGCTAGGGCAGAGGATCCGTCAAACTACAATAGAGAAGGTAGCAATGCGAGACGGAGGCCAACTGCAGCCTTTCTTGCGAGGATCCGTGGATCGTCTTGGCTTCCCAGTCGCTAGGCAGAGGATCCGTCAAACTACAATATTCTATCAAATAATAATAATATCTATATATATTTTTTAAATTTTAAAAATTATATGATATTTAACTAGTAAAAATGAAAACTTCACAAATAATCAAAGAATTTCTAAATATTTAAAATATACAATTTTTATTTTGCTCTGCATTCATATAACCAAATAAAATAAAAAATTCTTTATGTATTAATTTTATAGATAATCAAACGATTTAAATATTTTGAATGCACTAAAATTAGAGATGGAGGTTATTATTCCACTAAAATGATAAATTTTAAATAGCTTTAAATATATTAAATAAATAAAGCCTTCCGCTTTCCTCTTGTCGTGTTAAAATTCATGCCCCTACCTTTCACCAAAAAAACCTGCAGAAATTCTCTAGTGCACAGATTTCATCCATGGCAGCCGATTCGCCAGCCCCAGCTTCTTCGCCTTGCCCAAACACTGATCATAATCCCGATCAAAATTCGAATTCTCCAGGATTTAAGGATCCTGACCTCGATTCACTTTCGTTGGAACCCTCCCTTCGTCCTGCACAGGTACGGTCTAACGAGGAGGAGATGCTGGATGAGACCTCACAGCCTTCATCCCCAGTCACCGCTCCAGCTGAGGTGCCTCCTTCCTCCCTCCCTTCCCCTTCTCCGACCGTCTCGGCAACATCTCCCGTGCCTGTGGCTTTCTCTACAGCTCCAGACCTTGTGGATACGGCCGCTGTTGGAATTCCGACGCTGCTCCACCTCTCCTTCAACCAAGACTATGGTTGCTTCACCGCGGGTACTGACCGCGGTTTTCGCATCTATAACTGCGATCCCTTCCGCGAGATATTCCGCCGTGACTTTGATGATGGTGGGATCGGTGTCGTTGAGATGCTGTTCCGATGCAACATCCTTGCTCTCGTCGGTGGTGGTCCGCAGCCCTATTACCCACCGAACAAGGTGATGATTTGGGACGACCATCAAAGCCGCTGTATCGGCGAACTCTCATTTCGATCGGAGGTCCGGGCAGTCCGCCTGCGGCGGGACCGCATCGTCGTCGTCCTTGACCACAAGATCCTTGTGTATAATTTCGCTGATCTCAAGCTTGTTCATCAAATCGAGACCGTGCCAAACCCGAAGGGTTTGTGTGCGGTATCTCAGCAGCAGGGGTCGTTGGTGCTGGTCTGCCCTGGGGGACAGAAAGGGCAGGTGAGAGTGGAGCACTACGGGGTTAAGAAGACCAAGTTCATCGTGGCACATGATTCTAGAATTGCATGTTTTGCACTCTCACAGGATGCACGACTGATCGCCACCGCCAGCACCAAGGGAACACTGATTAGGATTTTCAGCACCATGGATGGAACCCTCCTTCAAGAGGTAGCATGCTTCCTTTGAGTTAATAATTTACTTGTCTACTGATTTTTTTAGTTGTGGCAACTTTTCTAAAGTGCAGGGAGTTTTTTGTTAGAGATTCACTGGCTTGGTGTGTGGAATATTTTTTTGTTTTTTGGTTTTGTCATTGAAAACACCTCCTTTCTAAAGGTTCCAGGCCTTTGTTTGTTCCCCTTATAGTTTGTGGCATTATCTACCCCCATTGCACTTGAAAGGATATTGAATCTAGATTTGCACGTGAGACTGCCATAGGAAGGAATGGGTGAGAATAAGATAAAAATTGGTAGAGGGTCCAAGAGGCCCTCAATAATTCAATAGAACACTAAGAATCGTGGTCTCTCACCAATAATGCTTGGCTTTTTCTCTTCATTGTTTGATCCCCTATTTATATAGGAAGGAAGGCATGAAAGGCTCGCATGGGTGTATTCCTAAAGAAAAAATCTCTATCATGCTATCTAGATCTTGGGGTAGCTTTGTGGGTGTCAGAATCTGTAGGTAATATTTGGGACAGGGTCGCACATTCCGACTAGTCTGCTCCGTATACTCAATCCCTTAATTCCTAGAATCTAATGTTGGTAGTGAATGACCCTATGTATCGGGGCTCAAATAGAGGGGTTGGAGAGAGTTTTTTAGGTGAGTTGTTGGTTATCTAAGCAACCTTTCTCATCTGTTATGATGAGCTGGTGGTTAGGCCACACTCATTGTTTCTTGCATGTTTGCTTGATGCAAGCGCCTTATCTCATGGAGATTGATTTGGATTCAGTTGAACTGGTTGAGGGGACCTAATGGATCGTGACCTGATACTCCGACCGTGTTAGCCAAATCATATGGATGGCATCATGTCACGTATCATTAGGTTGTACATTTTTATTAGCATACTTGTTTTTCAGGATCCATAACTTCAACCGCAAATACCAGTGGACATATTTGTTAGAAGAAGAATGATAAGTCCTTGTTTATTTTTCAGGATTCATAACTTCAACCACAAATACTTTGGACAAGACTCGTGATGATGATGATAGTGAGTTAGTGGACTTAACAGTCAGAAGAATTATAAATAGCCCATGTTAGTAAAAAATTAAAAGATGAGGGAAATATTTGGTATTGAGAAATTCCAAAAGTTATTGTTTATTTTTGATATTTTACTATTTTATGTAATGTGATTGTTAATATTTGATTTATACAAAGTTAGGGATGGTTAAAAATTCAAAAATATCAAGGCATCAGAAATTATTTTAGTTTTTATTTAAGATTCATGATTATAAGATTGTAATTATGGATCATGGCATCAATGAATTGTGAAAAATGCCGATTTTTAGAAATTATTGATGGGGTAGTTTAAAGAATTATTATTTTAAGATCAGCAAAATGTGTTGAATCTGAAGTAAAATATGGATTGTTTAAAAAAAAAAGGTGAGGTTGAGTTAGCTTCGATGATGGCACATATTTATAAAGCTATTAATTTGTTTTAGACATGCTAGGGTTTGTAGAGTTATGGGAGATGCTAGAGAGGTTTGATTAAGGGAAAAAAATGATATATCTAGTACTATTATTTGGGAAATATTAATATTGTATCATACATATGAATTTATAGGAATGGCTTTTGGAATGTAGGGTCAAAAAGTTCACATTGACATAATAGAATCAATTTGGATTAATGTCAACAAATATCTACTATGGAGATGATTTTTTGTGCTTTGGCATATAATGAAAAACTATAAGGAGCAAAAAATATCTACTATTGGTTTTTTGATCTTGAGAATGCATTTGGTTAAGTACTATAAGAGTTTGTTGTCATGGAGGAGAAATAATTATTTAATTATTGGATTGATGTCATTGAACTTTTGCATAATGAAGCATTGAATAGTATAAAAATAACAATAAAGTAATAAAGAGTTTTCTATTATGGTTGTCACATAAAGGGTTCAACGTTAAGGCTATCTTTTGTTGTTTGGATACATATATTAAAATTATAAATTTTTGTGTATGCTATTTGTAATTAACTTATTTATAATGATGAACTATCTCTCGAATCAATTCAAAACACAGAACATTTAAAATAATTTTTACAAAAAGGCTCTTAGAAGATTAATGGAACATAAATACTATTATAAAGTTTTATTGCATGATATGTAATATAAGTGGATGTGAAAATGATAAGATTTTGTAAATATTTTTAATGATCAAGCAATATCATGGTTTAATTGTTTGAGTATATTTTATGAATTAAATAAAAAAATTGAGATATTAATTAGTGTATACTTTATGGAATTAAGTTTGAGTGCTAAATATGGAGAAGTGTTTCGGGGGGGTTATGTCATAAGAGAAGATGATGGAGTCTTATAATTTTGAAAATTTTCAATTAGACCAATTATGCATAGATTTGAGTATGTGGTGATGAAGAAGTTGCTGTTACCAAGTTCAGTTGGGATGAAGTAAAAATTAGAATGAATTTGTGGTAAAAGAAGGATGGATTGAAAAATTATTATGTAGATGGAAGTTGGGAATAACACTTTTAGAAAATATTTTGATGAATATACTTGTGTAATTTGAGCATTTTCAAAGCAGACTACAAGATCTACCAATTAGATGGATGGATAATATTTATATATGGAAGGCTTATGAAGGAAAATATGTAAATTAAAGGTCATAAAGTGGATTTATTATTTAACACCAAACAAGAATATGATGAGAATGATTCTTAAAGCTGATCCAAATAGTTAGTATAGGGACGAGGAATGTAAAACCTAATTAAAGAAAGTAATTAATTAACAAATTAAAATATTTAAGTCATCTATGCTTAATATGGTTCTTGGAGGATACTAAATTGAACTTGAAGCAACAAATAACATTAAAAGTTGGGAAACAATTATAGGCATTTGAGGAATATTGCTGGAATGAGTAAATTTATAGATAATATTATGTTGGAATTCAGAATAATGCGGAGTAATGGAATTATTTTATTGTTATGGGGGTATAAATAACCCATACATGAATGCTAGAATAGGAAAACCAATAAAAATGAAATAACATGAAAGGAAATATATATCACCTAATATCTCTAATTAATATATTAATTATTTTGAGATAAATGAACAACATAAAATAAGAAAGGAAATATATCCAATCCAAGAAAATAAATCTCAATTATGAAAAGAAATAAAGTTTTATTAGGAAACAAATCTAATCCTCATAACTTCAAATAGGAATAAATTATTTCCTAATATAAATTCTAACATATTAATTATGTTGCTATGTGATTATTATCGATAATAGGGGTAATTTTATTCGTTACTGTTGTTTGTAATCATCTTACATGCCTAATAAATTATCAAATTTCCATTTCTAATAGCTAATATCTGTTTCAATATAGTGCTAATACTTTATTCATACTATGATGTATTTGAATTGACGGGGTTTAATGCTTTTTGAAATCATTAATCATTTTGAAATGTGACTCATTTATGGGTGATAACCATACCATTCTTTTATCAACACTTTTCTTTCCATATAGTTTCTTTAAATTTTATATGATTCAATTATGGAGATAATGTTGTAATCATACATATTAGGGTGTTAGTGGCTTCATTGTTTTGGAGTTTGAGCAAGCCAAGTCATCACTTGGGCACATGATTTCTTATTAGAAGATTCATGTTTGAAAAGAACTATTTTGATTGACATTTACTTACATTGGGCTTCATAGATGAGCCCGTTTCATATGTCATGACGAAAGTTCACATTTCTCCTATTTTCATGTTTATTTTCTAGTTTTGTGATTCAACCAGAAAGCCTAAAGCTTTCTTATTCTTGGGACTATAGCAGAGTGGGTCTTTGATATGCAATCTAATGTTTGGTGGATTGTAGCAATTTGTTTTATGTGCCTTTGTTTTCTTGGGGTTGTATCAAATAATTATTACCACCTTTAATCACTTTGATTTCTCGTGATTGTAGCATGGAATGCAATTTTTCATATATGGGTTTTCTATTACTTTGCTTTTAAGATTTCCTTTGTTGAATTCTTTCAGGCATGCTATTTAAGTTCGATGTATGGATTTCTTTTATTAAGTTGAATATGATGAAGAAAACTTGAAATATGATTTAACTCAAGTAAAGTGTATTAATGATGAAAATCAAAAAGTGCTTTTCTTAGAAAAAAATATTCAACATAGGTGGGTGGGTTATTTTGATAAACTATTTAATGAAGTTTCTGAAAATACGATCGACCTTAGTAGTGATCTTAATATTGTTATTAATAATAAGACATTTCATTTTTACCGTCGCATTAGTAAAAATGAAGTTGATGAGGCTTTAAAGAAAACCAATAAAGAAAACGCTTTAAGGAAAACCAAAGGTGGAAACCCTGTGTGACCTGATGATATCCCAATTGAAGTATGAAAATGTTTAGGAGATTGGGGAGTTTCTTGGCTTACGAGTGGAGGAAGAGTATTTTGGTCCCCATTTTCAAGAATAAAGGGGTGCACAAGAGTGTGCAAATTATAGAAGAATTAAGTTGATGTGTCATACTTTAAAATTTTGGGAGAGGGTCATTGAGCATAGGTTAAGACATATTACAAAAGCATCACAAAAATTTCTCATAATCAATTTGGATTTATGCCGGGTAGGTCTACTATGGAAGCTATACACTTATCGAGAAGTTTGATGGAGAAGTTCAGATAATAAATAGAATCTACATTTGATTTTTATTGATTTAGAAAAAGCTTCTGATAAGGTCTCAAGAGATATCCTTTGGAGAGTTCTTGAGAGGTAAAGATATGTATACTAGAGTTGTTGCTTGTGTTCGAACTGAAGGAGGATTAACCAAATATTTTTATATTTCTGTTGGATTACATCAGGGATCAACTTTAAGCCCATATCTTTTTGCTTTAGTTGTGGATGGTCTTACTGGACATTTACAGGAGGATGTACCTTGGTGTATGCTTTTTGTTGATGATATCCTTCTCTTGTATAAGACGAGAGAAAAAGCCCAGAGAAAACTTGAATTATGGAGGTCTACATTGGAGTTTAAAGGCTTTCATTTGAGTAGAACTAAAAATGAATACATGGAATGTAATTTTAGTAGTAGTAACTCTAGTGACAGAAGTGTAACTTTGGGTGATCAAATTATTAAAAGATGTGAACGATTTATATATCTCAGGTCTGTTGTTCAAAGCGATGGTGATATAGATGGGGATGTTAATAGTAGAATTCAAGTTGGTTGGTTGAAGTGGAGGAATGCTTCGGGCCTTTTCTGTGATAGAAAAGTACCGCTTAAATTGAAAGGAAAATTTTATAAGATGGTGGTGAGACGTGCAATGCTTTATGGTGTTGAATGTTGGCCTTTAATAGAGAAGCATAATACTAAGTTAAGTGTTGCCGAGATGAGAATGATTAGGTGGATGAGTGGCTTTACACTTAGAGACAAAATGCAAATGAATATATCCGCGATAGGGTTGGTGCAGCTATCAAGTAACTAATTATGTAAAATAAATGTATAATGCAAACATAAACTAGTCAAAGTAAATAAGATATCAAATGATAGTAATATAATATATCAAGAAAAGAAGCTATCAAATAAGTTTAGCGTAATAAATTTCTCTCATTGTTATTATTTAACGTAGCAACATTCATGGATTCAAAATGTTCTTAGTACTTTCATCACTTAAAGGATTTTTGTTGGAGTTGTCATCATAATAATAACTTTCTCCTCTATCTCATCTTAAGTTCCAACTTTTATTCTTTTTCATCTTCTTCAATCTTCGTCACCTTTTATTTTAATGAATAATAATCAATAATAAATTTTAAAATTTATTAAAATTTAAGATAACTTCAAATACTTAAATTTCCAGGGATATCTTTTTTAAATCTTTTTTTGGTTTGCATTAGATATATTAGTTTGTTTGTCCCCATAAAGGAAATTAACATTTGTGTTTTTTTATTGTAACATAAATGGTATATTCTCTTTGTTATCATTCATAAGTCATTCATCATCCGATAAAATATCTTAACATGGTTGGGGATCCTTGACACGCTTCAAATACTTATTATTCAGACTTTTATTCTTTAATCTCTTGTTGTATATGATGTACAACAAGAAAAATATCCTTAAAGTTGTTAGACGGTTTCTCATTTTTTTTATGAATTTGATTATATGTTCTCTAGTCACGGTCACATCTAGATGACGAGTATGTATGTCTAATACCTTAACAACAAAATGCTATAGGTTTGGAGTGCCATCACTAAATTGGATTTATCATTTAACTAAATTAAAAAGAAATTATAGTTAAAAGTTAAAATTTGAAGGGTTATTTCTTATTTTAATAGTAATTAAATATTAAAAATTACTTATATTTTACAATAATATCTTTTGCTTGGTGCAACTTAAAGAAAAATTTTCTCATTCTTAGATAGAATGAGTTGCATATCAGCAGTTGCTCTTTTACTGGGGTTAACAATTAATCTATCCATGTAATGTTATAACCCTAAGTTGATTGGAAGATTGGTTGACTTGCTTTCAACAAAGTGAAATTGAGAATTAGGAAATCATCCAACAATATGCAAATGACGGTAAGATTGAAGCTCTCAATTTTCATCAATGATATCATATATCTCCTTATAGTGTATTGCACTCCTCATAAGTTTTCGGCTATTAACTCCTTAGCCTTAGTAATTATATTATAAGTAAAGCCCATGGTTGGGTTTTTCTCTGCATCTACCCTTCTCAAAATTTGAACCAATAGCCTTGTGGTTGTTACTGTATATTTGACACTCAATAAAAACCTTTGATTTAAAATAGATGTTCTGAATTGTTTAATCTCAACTTTATTTATACACAGCTAAACTATTGAGTGGAAATAAACATTATTTATAATTGTTACCTAGTTTTTATCATATTTTATGAATTTAAATAGGCTATAGCAAATCTTGTTACAGCAAGGTGTAGGAGTTCGTTTTCAGAAAACTTTTTCATCAAGGATAATTGTCATTAATGGTTGTAGATGAACTTATTTATTTTTTATTTGATCATTGCATTTTAATGTTGGGGCAAGTCAATAAGTTTTATCTTAAATCAGATGTATGCATTGTGCAACACCTGGAATTCTGATCACTGAATGCTTTTTGATCTCTTTTACCATTTAATTAATTAGTCTTAGAATGTATTTTGTATCCTACACTTGTTCAGACGCTTCTATAATTTAAAAATAAATAGCGCCATAGGGATTATTTACCAAGATATTGATTAAATGTTTATTCTTTCTGTCAGACTACTCATTTATTAGAATTAAATAAAAATAACTCAACTGAGGCACAATGGAGAAAAAAGATTCATGTAGCTTACCCCATTTAGTGGGATAAAAGCTTGTTGTTGTTGTATTTCAGAATACTCATTAGACATGATTATCATTCAGGTAAACTCAATTTTTTTTTAGTTTCCTGTCTCTCTATATTACTTAGTTCCTCTTTGACACCTATATCCTAAAATCTTAGATGGACAGGCATTTATGGAACAAATCATATTAAAGTAAGAAGGGGAGGCTGTCACATTGAATAAAATGACATGTTCATAGGAAAACCTCCCAATATTCATACAAACACATCTGTCTACATCTCTATCATGCTTTGAGACATCTTTTGAGATGCAGTTTACCCATTTCTATAACCCATGTCATTCTCCACATTTATCGTATAGTAATCTATGAGACATCATATATCTATATTAGACATTATTAGTAAAGATGTTGATCCCTAACACTGTGCTCCTTCCCATAACAAGAGCCAACATAAATTGCATCATCAAATTGTTGGTTTCGAATATGCTTTGATATCAATGATTTGTTCCTATATGATCAGATCTCCCTTTTTATTGCTTCTAACACTTTGGCACATTGTTTAAAAATTTTGTGCAAGCCAATTGGTGTTCTTTTATCATTATAACACCCCTTTAACAATGTTCTCGCTTTAATTTTACTTCGAACAAACATTTTTTGCTGCTTTTTTTAACATCGACTTGCACACTGTCTCCTGAATGGATCCTTTCTATGGCTTATTGCAGATTTTTCTGTCTTTAACTGTTTGTTACAAAACCTAGTTTGAAAATTTTGATTCAAATAAGTTTGAAAACATGCAAATATTTAAGAAAATAGAAACCCCATCTAAACCACACAAATAGATTATATTTATGCTAGAAAAAATTAGGCTGGGAGATTGTCACCAGATAGAGAAAAAAATTGGTGCAGAAAGTGGGGATCCTTGTGGAAGAAGGAAGCTTGGGGTGTCAGCGATGACAACAGCAGGCACAACGACAACAGTGGTAAGCTTGAGGAAAGACTGGCAAATGCGAGTGAGGGGAGGTTTCATGCAAGGGAGGAGAATTTTGTGTTATGAGGGTAGCATGAGTTGGTAGAGCCAGTTATAAGTTACAAAATTAATTAAAATAAATAATAATAATAATAATAATAATAACTAAAATTAAGAGGCATACACCTCACTTGAATCATATGAGGGTGTGCCTCAAGTCTGTTTGGGCTTTGGATTGCTTTGTAGATTTGCCTTAAATGGGACATAAACAAATTACTATTCTTGTAGTATTCATTATTTCATTTTGTGGTTACCACATACGATATAAAGAATATGGATCATCTTGGTCATTGTTGGATCTTCTGATTACTGGTTTATCATAAGATCGATTCCTTAATAGGCATAAGCTATGATTGAGATTATTGGTATTTTGGGTAGATCAAAACTTGAGATGAATAACTTGATTTGCATTTGGAGAATAAATAATGTAGAGAGTATAATTTTCTTGAAAATCTAGAATTAAATCCACAAATACTTGGGGGCATGCAGGCTGATCAATTCTATTCGTTGCCTTGTTCTTGTGAAATTGTTCTTGCATTTGTCCTGATTGTTATGTTACATTATTCTAGACCCCTAACATTTCATTGATTAATAGTTATAATTTTGATGTTCTTTCTATTTTTTCTGCTGCAGTTAAATGGTTTTGTAATTCATATTTGGTATCATACACAGGTGCGGAGGGGTGCCGACAGAGCAGAGATATACAGCCTTGCCTTCTCTGTCAACATGCAGTGGTTAGTTGTTTCCAGTGACAAAGGAACAATACATGTATTCAACCTCAAGCTTAATTTGGGTTTAACAGCGAATGATAAACCACGTCCTGCACCAGAACCAAATGTTCCTGCTGCGAGTTCATCACTATCTTTCATTAAGGGTTAGATTCCTTCATTTTGTCTTTTGTATATTTTTAATGGTAGTACCCTTTTCCTTCAGTGAAAAATAGCTGACTTGCCAATTTCATTGTTTCTTTGCTTTTTTATCTTTTTTTTCTACCTTCAGTCTGTCATTGTTTTCGAGAAATATCAGACATATTTAACTTCTCATATTTGGAACACATGAATTTATTTGAAAGATTTTTTCACGAGAAAGGGGAAAATGCAATCTCTAGTTACATCTATCTCTAGATTCGTTCAAGTAACCTTTTATTGTTCTCCTCTGTTTATTTTAAAGCTTTCAGTTAACTAACTTTTCCTACATTTGATGAGCCATTTTCCCTTCATGTGCAGTCAATGGATAAAAGAAAATTCCGGTTAAATTTTTCTTGAATTAAACTGCAAAATGTTTTTTCATAAAAACTCTGCATTACACCTGTTGGCTACAGCGGTATTATCATCTCTGAATGGTGGCTTATTCCCTTGTTTGTCTGATTTCAGGCACAGCCAAGGTGCTGGTTTCCAGTGAATGTTTTTAGTTCAAGTAATTGAACTTTAAAGTTATGGAGAATTTCCATTATTTGTTTCATAAGAAATACCTTCTGAGCCAGTTTAAAAAGATGTAGCACGCCACTATGGGTAGAACTTCTGATACTGTCTTGTGGCAGCTGGCTATTGTCTTCATTATTCCTAGTTATTGGGATCGGATGGATTATAGCCAGAAAAATATTTTTTTTATTCTTCTGGAAGCAATTATTTAACAAATTTGATTTGTCATTGTTAGTCCAATCCAAGTTTATAACAAGAGAAAACCCGCGACCACCAACCAAAAAAAAAAAAAAAAAAAAAAAGAAAAGAAAAGAAAAGCTCACATTTATGAACATTAAAATAGAAGAACCACTCACATCAATAAGTTTGCTTTCAAGATTAAGTCAAATTCTTCAAACTCTAAGCATTACTGTTCAGCCAGCCATAAAAATTAGTCATAGCTTCTAATGAGATGCAAACATTTAGGGCTTCATGAACTGTCTTGAGATTTATATATTATTATAATAGCATTACTATGATACGCATTACACCATAGAATTTGTAGTTGAAGAGCTGAGACAGGATTAGGTACATATCTATTAGAAACAATGTATAATTAATTTATAAAAGATTAATATCCATTAACGAATATTACTAATTTATTTTGCTTTTTATTGCACTGACTTGATTCTTATGTGCCACCGAATGCATTTTATTAAGTTGTGAGAGTGGACGATAATGGTAGTGTGGTACTGGTATAGCAGTGACACCTATGGATGGTGTCTATGAATTTGGAAGCTGTGAAAGTGAACTTGAAAAAATTGTAGAGGGCAAAGGGAATTTTGCTTGGAAGGTGGCTAACTCATACTATGCTGAAAGCTGAACTACATCTAAATTGGGTACAATATGTAGAATTCAAACTTATTATGGCTACTGCAGATTGCTTCATCTTCATTTTCAATTCAGGAGATGCAAGGGACACAGCATGACGGTAGGACCTTGGATGGTGGCTGGGCATATCGTTGATATGGAAAGGCGGACTCCCACATTTTCTAACAATTCACTACATAGACTCTTTTCACTTGTTTGGGTCAAGATAAACTCATCTTCATTTTCATTATTGGAATGGTGATAGGAACGAGTTGAGCTTCCACAGAGATTAGGGCAAATAAAATATTTTACTTCATTTGCACAAAACAACACAACCCAAATGCATAAAAGATAAACTCTTACAATTTAAGAGGTAGTCGATCTCTCCTAAATCATAATCCTTGATTTATGGCAACAATCACACATATAACCTAACCCTAAACATATTAAGCCCTATTTATACTCTACAATAGCAACCAACAAATGACAAAATAGCCCCTTTAGTCTCACATCTAACATAAGTTTTCAATTATTTTGTCGAGCTCGGTGTACACTTAGTGGAGCACGAGGCGGACAGTGCCGTAGGTGTCGCTCTAACATTACTCCCCTCCCAATAAACACATTGTCCTCAAGGTGAAAGAGAGAAAACTCATGTTGGATCAAGTCTTATTACTCTCACTCATAAATTGAATTGATTCTTGTTCTCGTTATCAACACTTAACTAAAATAAGTGATGGGTCATTGACACTGCATTAGAACTGTGCTTAACTCATAGCCTGAGGCATCTGTCTCTATAATGAATGGTTGCTTGAAATTAGGTACGACAAGCATTGGTGCACTCGTCTTGACCTTTTAAATATCAAAAGCCTGGATCGTAGCTCCCTCCATTGAATCTTTTTCAATTGTTCTATCAACAACCACACATTCGAACTGTATCTTGTAAGTCCTAGAAATCCTCTTAACCCATTTAGTATCTCAGGTAGTGGCCAATCTAACATAATTTCCACTTTCGATGGATTCACTGAAACCCCAAGTACTGTCAACAATTTCAAATGGTCAACGTGGTGTTCTAAAGAACGATATGATAACATCTTAAAATTTTCCTAATAATCCATGACGGATCCTTTTTTGACCATTGCAGAAAATTGCTCCTGTAAATCTCCTTCCCTCATGGTTCTGAAATGCTCCATCAACCTGTCTTTGAATTCTTCCCACATTCTGATTGGCTGATGTTCTCTCATAGACTTTTTTTCTAAACACAGAGCCGTCACCATCAATTTTTCTTCCTCCGTTAGGCCATTAACGACAGAGTATCTCTCCACATGATAAATCCAACTATAGACATTCTCTCTTTCAAAGATCAAAAGCTTAAACTTAAACATAAGTCTCCTCAATTTTCTCGATCGAAGCTTATTCTACCCATGAAGTAGGGGTTGATTTCCCTTTCTCGACTCATTGATTTTTTTTCCTATAAGTCTAGCTTATCCCATAATTAGCTTGCTCGTCCCCATAGGTTCTTGAATCACCTTCCACATGGAAGGCTGCCACAACAAAAGGCACTAATATGGTTGGCTGTAACCTTTTGTAGGGTGCCATCCATTGTCATTCCTTGTTCTAGACTGAAATCCTTCAAATTGATCTTCCTCAACCCCGAATCACACACCATCTTCTTTTTCCTCTGCAACTTGTTCCAAACTTGTAGATGTGTAGTTCTCTCTAGGTGTTTTCGCTCAAATTTACTGTTGCTGGCATGGTTAGATGTAGTCTTCCGCAGGGTCTAACCCATTGCGGTTCCTTGTTCTGGGCTGAATGCCTTCAAATCTATCTTCCTCAGCCTCGAATTTCTCACCATCCCGTTTTGCTCGCTGCAACTCGTTCCAAACCTCTAGATGTACAATTCCCTCTAGCCGCTGCAGCTCGAATATGCTCTTGACTCTTTTGCTCGATTCTTCCTAGTTCTATTTGTTCTAGTCATCTAGATGTCGCTCTATTCCTTACAAGTGTTTTGGCTTGAGTCTTCTCCCGATTCCTTTCGCTCGATCCCGCGGCTCCATATCCCCCCAAGGCAGCGACATAAACTTGATGCCGCTCAAATCATTCAGATTTTTACCGCTCACGTCCGTTTCGGAAGTTGCCGCTTGATTCTGAGGTGGGTGGCAGGGGTTTTGCGTGAAACACCACGATCTTCTTCATCATTCCTTCCAAGTCCATGAATCTCCCCTCCATGGATCAGAACTGCCTCTTGATGAAAGAGAAGCCCTTCTCCATTTTAAATATGATTTGGCTCACCTCTCCTTCTAATTTTTCTTCCAAGGCATCTATTTTGGCCGTCATTACTCTCAGAACAGTTTTCTATCACAATGGTGGAACTCCTATATTGCGTTCCCTTCCTTGGCTTCCCTGCTAGCTCGAGTCACTATTGTATTGCTAGGTTCAGTCATGAAAGCGGAACCTTATATGCTGCGATCCCATCGTTGGCTTCCTAACTAGCTTGAATTGCAACTGTATCATGAGGATTGGTCATGAAGGGTGGGTGCGTGATGGTCCCGTTGTTGGCCTTTTTAGGTAGCTCGAATCGCATTTATATGACCAGGTTAAATCAAAAAGACGCGCTACAGATCCTGTAAGCTGTGATCCTGTCATTGGCTTTCAAGCAAGTTAGAATCATGACTGTATTACAAGGTTTGGCCACGAAGGCAGCGCGGTGGGTTCTACATGTCGTGATCCGTTGTAGGCTTCTTAGCTAGCTCAAATCGTGAGGTTCAATTACACAGGCGTGCACAATAGATCTTGTTCGCCCCAATCCCATCGTTGGCTTCCCGACTAGCTCGAATCGCGACTATATCACAAGGTTCAGTCATGAAGGGGACATATGAAATCGAAGTGTAGTTGCGGATCTTGAAAGGAACAAGTTGACCCTTCTCGATCGATTCAACTCTGATATCAATTTGATCAGAACGAGACGAGCTTTCACAGATATTTGGGCATACAAAATATTTTACTTCACCAGTATGAAACAACCATATAAATGATAAACATCTACAACTAGGCGATCTCTCTCAAATTCTGACCCTAGATTCAAGGCAACAATTACACACATAATCTAACCCTAAACATATTAAGTCCTATTTATACCCCATATTAATAACTAATAAATGATGAAATTATTTTTTAAGTATTAAGCCTAACATAAGTCTTCAAATTATTTTTTGGCGAGCTCGGCGTTGACTTAGTGAAGTACAAGGTAGACGATGCCGTAGGCGTCGATCTAACATATGACTACTATGTTATGCCAACCATTACGGCTTGATGCTTATTCTAATGAATGGAGTAGAAACATGCATGCTAGGATTTTGGTAGGATAAATTTACCCAAAAAGATTCCTGCATATGTTTGGATTCAATATCAAGATGGAGCCTTCTTTCAATGTGGGGAGTATGAAGGAATATACTAGGTCTACTTCCCTTGTGGGTTGTGGATCATAAAATAGATATTTGCCTGCTTAAGGCTGGTGGTGTAGCAGGAGCCAACACATAATAGAAAGTTCAAGCACCTGTCTTAATTTATCATGATGATAGGACAATGAATAATCATGGTTTAGCAT